GTCATAGCCCACAGCTCAGCAGGGACATGCGTTTATCGCATGAATTGAACAAGACATGAAGTGTCTAAAATAAATGTGCACAGTTCAGCTGAATGATAAAGTTTACTACGACTGTATGCTTTCCACAATATTAACAAACTGTACACTGAAACAAAATAACCAGAACATTAACAATAACCGATAGAGCTCGTGGTTTATCTGTCAATCAGATGCGCTCTCGGCCACTGATCTATGCTCGTGACGTTTTCTTTTATAATTATCATTGGCTGATAGAATTGTATTTTAGATGGTAATAAGATCAAGACCCTCGATTACGTCATGATCTATTCTGTCGTGCAGCGCTCAAAATTGTGGACAAGCCAGGTCCACCGTAAAATAACCTCTGATTGTTTATTTTTATTTGTTCATTTAAATGTGTGCAGCCTTCGTAGGATGTAGCCTTACGTTTGAGAGGCACCCATAGATAAGCTTTGATGAACTGAAAAAGGCTCTGAATGAGGAGTCGATTCCCCTTGATGGAATCGATTCCAACCTTTGGAATCGACTCTCAATTCCCATCGAGAATCGATTCTTTTTGGAATCGATTCCCAGCCCTACTGTCTGGCTGGCGCGACGAGACAAAAACATTAAAACCCATTATCCAAACAAAGTAGTTTCGCTTTCACAACGAAACACACGGCGGGCTAGAGTGAGCGGAGGGCAGCGGGTTAGAGTGAGCAGAGTGGTGGGCGGGCTTGAGTGAGCGGAGGTGGGCGGGCTTGAGAACGGCGCGACCGGCGGATTCAACGAAGGAGCGTCCGGGGGGCTTGCGGCAACCACATGTGACGACCCCGGGCTGGATTCCGCTTCGTCCACGGTAAAAGCATATTCTTTATCAAAGTTAAGACTCTGCCACGCCCCCCTAAAACGGCTCGTTCTAACACGCCCCCACATATCTACCTCACTATGTGGAAATATTTGCATAATGCCGCCCAAATGTTCATGCAAAGAAAGAAGGCGTGGTTTCAGTAACCGCAGTTAGTGTTGAAGCAGCATGTCAGGGAGACGCTGTGTGTTTCTAGGCGAAAGCAAAAGCACTTTATTTGGCCTTTCCGGAAGTAGATGCATTTAGGAATCTTTAAGATTACTTACAACAGAACAGCAATGCATTTTATGGACGACCGTTTCGTGAACCTAGGAGAGGAGGTAATTCTGACTTTGCTATGACAATCTGGCGCTTCTGAATCAGCTACTGTTTTGTTATTAGTTTAAGTATTTGCTATTGACTGTTCAAATGCGGAGTTTTGCGCAGCGTGTGTGTGTGCGCGTGCGTGTGTTTGTGTATGAGAGAGAGAAAGAGACAGCGTCACATAACAGTAGAGTCAGCTGTCTTAACCGCGGCTTGTGTACTGCATCATCACTGTGTCTGTCACTGACTCTGTTCCCCTTTCGGGCTTGAACTGATGGTAAAACTAATGACATTATTTACTGTCTGTCTATTTATTTTGAAAGATGAAGCTCGCGATTATGGTAAGGGGCGTTACATTTCCGACGAGTGCTTGCGGTGTTCGGCCAATCACAATGCACTGGGTCAGCTGGCCAATCAGAGCAGACTGCGCTTGTCGGAAGGAAGGACTTTGTAGAAAACGAAGCGTTTGAGAGAGGCGGGGCATAGAGGAACTACAATAATGTACAGTATTTGAAAAATAATGTGTTTTTTGAACATTAAAGCATGTCAACATATTCCGTTACACCAAATACACAAAATAATGATCTTAAAAAAACGCCCAAATGTTCACGCAAAGAAAGAAGGCGTGGTTTCAGTAACCGCAGTTAGTGTTGAAGCAGCCATGTCAGGGAGACGCTGTGTGTTTCTAGGCGAAAGCAAAAGCACTTTATTTGGCCTTCCGAAAGTAGATGCATTTAGGAATCTTTAAGATTACTTACAACAGAACAGCAATGCATTTTATGGACGACCGTTTCGTGAACCTAGGAGAGTAGGTAGTTCTGACTTTGCTATGACAATCTGGCGCTTCTGAATCAGCTACTGTTTTGTTATTAGTTTAAGTATTTGCTATTGATTGTTCAAATGCGGAGTTTTGCGCATCGTGTGTGTGTGTGTGTGCGCGACTCTGTTCCCCTTTCGGGCTCTGTCTTTACATTTATTTTGAAAGATGAAGCTCGCGATTATGGTAAGGGGCGTTACATTTCCGACAGGTGCTTGTGGTGTTCGGCCAATCACAATGCACTGGTTCAGCTGGCCAATCAGAGCAGACTGCGCTTGTCGGAAGGAGGGACTTTGTAGAAAACGAAGCGTTTGAGAGAGGCGGGGCATATAGGACATACGATAATGTACAGTATTTGAAAAATAATGTGTTTTTTGAACATTAAAGCATGTCAACATATTCTGTTACACCAAATACACAAAATAATGATCTTTAAAAAAGCATCATATGACCCCTTTAAGTTTTTTGAAAATCTTAAAATGAAGAAAGTTTTCTGTGAAGGGTTTAGGGGTAGGGTAAGGGGATAGAAAATACAGTTTGTACAGTATAAAAACCATTACACCTATGCAATGTTCCCATAAAACAAGAAGACCAGTATGTGCTTGTAAAATGTGACGCGTACAATACACTGAGCTGTGGTGGAAATGACAATGACAAAAAAAGACAATTGAAAGGTTTTCTGTGACATATTTATTGTTATATGTTGTATATTGACAAATTACAGAGAGTAGCCTATGAAAAATGTGTTTTAAGAGAGGTGTTTTTGTGGAAGTTTTTTTTTTTTAAAGTCCACAGAGCTATAGTTTTCATCAGTAATAATGGCTGTAGTTTCTCTGGTCTGGCTGCAGAACAGTCAGTAGGTGGCACTAGTGAAGTTTGTGAAGCTTCATAAAAGCAAAGAAAGAAGAAGCTATTACATGCAGATCCCGCCTGATTGACAGATTGCGATCCAATTACTAACATGGAGCAACAGATTTCCACCAATCAAGGTAAAGAGCTGCTTTTTTGTCATTCCGTGTGTTTCTTTCCTCCTGATAGGTCAGCTCGTCTGCGCTGTTTAGTTGAGCTGACAGGAAACCAGTCTGTTAGTTCACAGTAAACTGAGCTTTGTATTTCAGCTCATATAACTATTACAAACTGTCAAACCTGGCTGAACTTCAGGAAACATGGATCAAGTGGGGAACAAGTATTTCTGCCAGGATTATTTCAGGTGTTGTTGGTCATAGTTTAATATTCGGGGTAGTAAAGCATAGGGGTAGTTAGAAGCTTGTACACAACTTAAAAAAAGATATATTTAACACAGTAAGCGCATAATAAATTATAATGTATTGGGATACCATTTTATGTTATAAAATAAAATTGCATCCCAACAGAGCTCTCAAATTTAGATTTTTATTTATAAATTTTTTTTGATGTAATACATGTGGGTAATAAATGGTTGATAATTACAAATTAGTAAAAATAAGTGCAGTAATAAGTATTTTCTTTTTTCCCACAATACATACTGTTTTCTAAGGAGATGTACTGAAAATTAGCATGATAGGTTTTTGTAAGGGAGAGGTAAAAGTGGGATTAACAATCATTTTTAATACAGTTATTATATCGTGGTTGACATTTCACCCTATTCTGTCCAATTTTCTCAATAGCTTTGCGTTCCTCAATGAACATGCAATTTGAAGATGGTATATTCATCAAAGACTACATCAGGATTATGGCGTATATGATCGTGCTGTGTTTCACACTGGCGATTTCATTATCGTTTTGGGTCCTGTCCATAACTGCCAGCACATATTATGGTGAGAGTTCACTTTCTGAGTCTATGGAGTTACTTAGTCGTATATGAATACATAAGGGCTGTGTGTGAAACCAGCCTTATTGCCCAGTCAGTCAGTGTATGTGTATGAAGGGGCCTCCTCTGGAAACTGGTTTCAGACAGGCTTCTAATGAAAGCAAATTTAAATGAACTTAATAAATAACCAAGGAAATATTTTGAGATTACTATACTGATTTCTAAAAAATGTGGCATCAAAAAATTGTGGTATGCGTCGCAAAAAAACTGACATAAATTGATAAAAATTTATTTATACATTTGTATATATATATACACACACACATTGTGTGTCCTTGCAGCTTTCAGACATAGCCATGATGTCCCAATACATAAAAATGTGGCTATTTATTATTTATTGTGTTACTGTACACATACAGGCACACTTTTAACAACTTTAGATTTACTTACTAAAGAAGAAAATAGAAAACTGTAGTAAAAGTATTAAAAGTAAGAGTAAGAGTTTGTGACAAATATCATAAAGTTTGTATTACAAATGTGTATTACAAAGATTTTGCTTAAATGTAATAATTACAGTGCATGTTTTTACAAGGTGCACTGAGTGCAAAATCATAATTTGAACCATTTGAATAATTGTGCATTTTTTCATTTAAGTTATTGGATTTGAAAGCAAATTGAAATTGTAAACAGCAGGGTTCCCATATTCCTATAAAAATGTCATTTACAAGCCTGGAAAAGTCACGTTAATTAACAAAATTTTAAGTTAATGTAAAAGTCATAGGATTCTGACTTTTCATATCCAGTTCATTCCATATGAAATGCTGTTTTGCAGGTACTCTGCAGCCAGTATCACCATGGCGGTGGCTGCTTTCAGTGCTTATCCCTCTTTTCATCACATTTCGAGCCTTTAAACGTAGGAATCTTGATCATGGTGGTGCCATAGGAGGTGAGGAATACATTTTGAAGTTGAGATGGTCTTGTGGGTCATTTTAATGTCACATCAATATTGGTTATAGGCAGGGTTGGGGAGTAACGGAATACATGTAATGGCGTTACGTAATCAGGATACAAAAATCTAGTAACTGTAATCCGTTACATCAAAAAAACAAAGTATTCAGATTAGTTAAATTTTGTAAAAAGGGGGAATACTATCAGGATTACATTTGCTTAATTTAAAATTAAATAAATGAGTATTTTGACATAACGCTATGATGCGCGTTCTCGTCTTTTTTTTTCTGTTAATTACGTTGAGCTGCGTGTCCGTTTTTCTTCAAAGCACCAACTTAGAATGCCTAATTTTGGTTTGCTTGCTTGTGTTACATGAGAAAATAAATAATTTTGCCTACCTGATGTAATCGATTTAATAGGGGTGCGGTTCGCGACTCGCAGTCGTTGTCAAACGGGTCTGGTCCAGAATTAAATTAGTGCTGCTGTTGGATAACGGGTCGAGTGTTCTGTTAAGTACTGCTGGTGCACGTTTACCAAACAGGACCCGTGCAGGACTCTGCTTTAAACTGCTTTGCGTCTCTGCATAACACTATTTCAGTTGCATTTGCGACTGAAATCTACTGCGTGCGACTATGAAATTTTTAGGAGCACCAGTGCGACTGACCAGATCATCATTTCTTATTCTAATTCTGTCGTTTTAATTAATTTTTTTTAAAAGCTTATCAAATATACTTTTAAGAATTTGACAAAAGATGACATACTTTTAATAAAGTTAGAGGAGTTTCATGCAGATATTTTTATGTATAGTTTCACAAAACTGAAGTCAAACCATTCTGTTTTTGCTTCAAATTTCAAAATTATACAATCCAATCTAGATTAAAAACTGCTCATGTTGCATGTATGCAGCATCTTTGTTTGGATCATGATTAAAATGCAGTGGTTGCCTCTAATTTTAAATGGAAAGAGCACAGACAAAGACTTAGTTTTTCTTATATGAAGAGATTTCTTTTATTTGTTACTTATTTATTTGATTTGGGGCTTGTTTTAAAATTTTCATTTTTAATACAGTTATTATATCGTGGTTGACATTTCACCCTATTCTGTCCAATTTTCTCAATAGCTTTGCGTTCCTCAATGAACATGCAATTTGAAGATGGTATATTCATCAAAGACTACATCAGGATTATGGCGTATATGATCGTGCTGTGTTTCACACTGGCGATTTCATTATCGTTTTGGGTCCTGTCCATAACTGCCAGCACATATTATGGTGAGAGTTCACTTTCTGAGTCTATGGAGTTACTTAGTCGTATATGAATACATAAGGGCTGTGTGTGAAACCAGCCTTATTGCCCAGTCAGTCAGTGTATGTGTATGAAGGGGCCTCCTCTGGAAACTGGTTTCAGACAGGCTTCTAATGAAAGCAAATTTAAATGAACTTAATAAATAACCAAGGAAATATTTTGAGATTACTATACTGATTTCTAAAAAATGTGGCATCAAAAAATTGTGGTATGCGTCGCAAAAAAACTGACATAAATTGATAAAAATTTATTTATACATTTGTATATATATATACACACACACATTGTGTGTCCTTGCAGCTTTCAGACATAGCCATGATGTCCCAATACATAAAAATGTGGCTATTTATTATTTATTGTGTTACTGTACACATACAGGCACACTTTTAACAACTTTAGATTTACTTACTAAAGAAGAAAATAGAAAACTGTAGTAAAAGTATTAAAAGTAAGAGTAAGAGTTTGTGACAAATATCATAAAGTTTGTATTACAAATGTGTATTACAAAGATTTTGCTTAAATGTAATAATTACAGTGCATGTTTTTACAAGGTGCACTGAGTGCAAAATCATAATTTGAACCATTTGAATAATTGTGCATTTTTTCATTTAAGTTATTGGATTTGAAAGCAAATTGAAATTGTAAACAGCAGGGTTCCCATATTCCTATAAAAATGTCATTTACAAGCCTGGAAAAGTCACGTTAATTAACAAAATTTTAAGTTAATGTAAAAGTCATAGGATTCTGACTTTTCATATCCAGTTCATTCCATATGAAATGCTGTTTTGCAGGTACTCTGCAGCCAGTATCACCATGGCGGTGGCTGCTTTCAGTGCTTATCCCTCTTTTCATCACATTTCGAGCCTTTAAACGTAGGAATCTTGATCATGGTGGTGCCATAGGAGGTGAGGAATACATTTTGAAGTTGAGATGGTCTTGTGGGTCATTTTAATGTCACATCAATATTGGTTATAGGCAGGGTTGGGGAGGAACGGAATACATGTAATGGCGTTACGTAATCAGGATACAAAAATCTAGTAACTGTAATCCGTTACATCAAAAAAACAAAGTATTCAGATTAGTTAAATTTTGTAAAAAGGGGGAATACTATCAGGATTACATTTGCTTAATTTAAAATTAAATAAATGAGTATTTTGACATAACGCTATTTAGCACGGTTTCATCATAGTTCCTGGTAGAGCCCTGCACAGGCCTCAAATATAGTACCTAGCCCGGCCCGTGTCTGACAGCTTATCAGAATTACCGGCCCGAGCCAGTCTTTTTTCCCCTATTCCCAAAACAGCTTACTGTTTCAGCTATTGAAATAGTTCAGTTTTGTATGCAATGGCAAAGTGATTAGGCTATATTTCGTTTGGTTTTTTTATTATGTTAATTTAGAAAAACGTTTGGAGCATTTTGTTCGTTACAAGTTTGTGAATTGAATCGAATCGTGAAATCAAAATCGTGAATCGAATCGAATCGTGAGTTGAGTGAATCGTTACATCCCTAACACGCAGTACAAGGTACCATGGCCAACCCCTCCCACCTAAATCCACGCACCAAACAATATAACAGATGGACCCAGATGAATTCCAGACAGAACTATAACAGAACAAAACAGAGCAGAGCAGAAGTGCAGTCAGTTACTTGAGGTTCGTTACGCTTCAATTAAGATCATTAGAAACCCCTGGACGTGCAATCAATCCTGCTGGACATTGAACAAAAGTTACGCATAAAAACTGGTTTAAAACAAACTTTAAACTACCCATACCTACCAAGAAAACAGTACAATGCTGCAATACACATGGTCGCTCACCACGCAGGATTACAGCTACTTGCAGGCCCATATCTAAAAACAAACAAAAGGTAATAAGCCTCTATTTAACATGCAAAAAGGCATTTTTAAAAACGGGACAAACCTGAAAACTGGCGACAGCTTATCAGAATTACCGGCCCGAGCCAGTCTTTTTTCCCCTATTCCCAAAACAGCTTACTGTTTCAGCTATTGAAATAGTTCAGTTTTGTATGCAATGGCAAAGTGATTAGGCTATATTTCGTTTGGTTTTTTTATTATGTTAATTTAGAAAAACGTTTGGAGCATTTTGTTCGTTACAAGTTTTTGTTTTTTAAAGTAACGACCAAGCGGCCAGCGGCAGACAGTGAGCCTATGTTTGATCAATTTAGCCTTCTCAAATCATCACGACTTGCCTAAAAGAAAATCTATAGATATAAAACAGTTCAAGCATATAACTGTGGCAGTAAGTGGTCAGGAGTTTGAAAATTACCAATAATAAGAGAAATCCTATGGTCGACTACGCCACCCAGAATACACCGGGACATAACAGCCCTAAGCAAAGGGACACAGGTTCGTTGCCAAAGGCAGGGTGAGCATAAGGATAGACAGATAAACAAATCACTTTATTAACATACAATTAATAAAAACACATGCAACACTTCACAAGGTCTCAATACATCACACATCTTTACCAGTAACTTACAAGTACAATACAATAAGATAACAAAATAAAGAGGGAGGTGGCCAGCAAAGACCCTCAGATTTCTACCCCACACTCAATACCCATGACACAC